TATTCACTCACGAAAGGGTTGAGCAAATTTACAGAACGTTCAAATCCCTTCAATTTCCTAAATCAATTACATATTAAAATAAACGAAGCGCTAATTAACCGCTGAATTAATTAAAGTACCGCGTGCGATCGATCTCTTCCACTGTCGAAGTAGTAAATTCGAAGGAGAGGAAGCTTTCGGCGGGAGATCGAAAGAAATTTTCCGGAAGAAAAATCGAAGGAAAAGCTGGGTGGTGGAGGAAACGAAAGAACGCGTGGGAACGCTGAGAGTAGCGAGAATAAAAGGGCGGAGAACCAGCGTTCTTCCGGCAATTAGAATTTTCCTGGAGACCCAGTGCGACTCGCTACAATCCCGCACGAGTGGCTTAATTAAGCCAGACCAATTAAAAACACGGCCATGGCGGATTATATTTTCCACCGCGCGATCTAATCAGCGGAACAACACGGATTTTCTTCGCGGCTTCTCGAACACGTCGAAATTAACAATTGACTGGCTCAGTGACGATCTCGCATTGACAACTAAATCCTTCTTCGCTATCCCACGAAGCATACTAAACGGCGTGGTGGCATTTATTATCGCGACGAACAATTTTCCAATTATTCGCGTGATTCTGGAACGTACGGCCAGTTCCTTCACGGTCTATTGTTAGATTCGATCATTTGTAAAATCGTTTGTTGCACGCAAAACCCATTGTGGAGACTGTTATACTGTTATTACACCGTGCATTGTTGTATTTCAATGCTCAGTCGCGGTGGGGAAATCCGTTTCTTCGAAATTGAAATTGAATTGGAGAAACGCAGACTGGACAATTGAAATTCGTGCACTTCGCCTCTGAGGCCGTGGAGAATTTATTAGAATTAATAGATAACGTGGAGCGCGGTGAATTTTGACCTGACGATACAAGAATTCTACTTCGGTTTCGAGGAATTAATATTGAAATATTCCTTTTTCTTAATATTGAAGAATATCCCTTTTTCTGGTCGTGAAATGCGTTATCCCAATGAGCCACACAATTTCTAGAATCTTAGATAAACAAAGGCTTAAATGGTAAATACATCGTATCCTCATTATTTGCGATAGTGTCCCGGTGTGTGTGCGCGTAAAATTACAGCTTAACGATTAATGTAGAAATTAGTAGTATTAATACTATCACTTATCGACGGTTTACTTATAATAAATAAGAAAAGAAAACACTTATCTTGCGCGAGAATCGATGGCACTACGAATCTTCACTTAGTTAAATCGATACCTTAAAGTTATGTAAATTCGAAATAAAAAAATACGATTAATCGGTTAAAATATACAATTAAAAACGTTCTCTGTTCTAATTAAGATTAAACCCTTTTTAAACGAAGTATCGTAACCTTTTTTCCTCTGTCACACGCGATAAGATAACAGAACGTTGAATTTTAAACGAGTCTCGGAACCGCAGTTACAATCGAAATTATACAAAGAATCAATTCCAAGGATTTCCTCGTTAAAATTAACGCACGGACATACTTGTTTCGCCGTTCAACGATCGTGTTAGACGAAACACGAGCACGCCGAACATTACAACCGTTCGAAATGAATTTATGCAAAGCGATACAACATCGATCGAGGCCAAGAACGAAAGATTCATGGCGTTAAGGGTGCATTTAAATAGCACGGCTCGGCTGAAATTTCAATTCTTCCATGCTTTTCTATGGACACAATGTCGATCGCTTGGAAATTGTCGTTATCACGATTTTCACGAGAGATCGTTTATCAAGTAACGCGTAAACAAATGGTGTGAACGTTATTGAAAAATCTGACGTTTGGTCAGGAATATTCCTCAAATCTTGGAAAGTTTTGACATTGAAAGGATTAAGATACAGTTGGAAATTAAAGGAAAATTGTTTCAGCTTTTTTCCAGTCAATTAACCGCTGTACCTGTAGCCTGTTTAAAATCAATTGTTTGTCCAAGGCCACTACTACTCTGTGTAGAATTATACGCGAATCTTTTTCATGAATTTACCCTAATTTTAGGGAAACTGAACGAGTTATATGACATGAAAAATATGAACTAAATAAATATCTCCAGTACAGTTCTCTCGTAAAAGAATTATATTTAACGTTCTACCTTTTTGTTATAAGATACTTTGAAATAAAATACAGTTTGTAATAAATGGTCTTGAACGTTCAATTGATTTCCCAAATATCGCAATTACTTAAGCTCAATTTTCAAACTTATTCAACCATTCTAATACACAAATGAAACACTTTGCTACTGGTCTCTTTAAATTTCATTCGTCGCAGATATAAATTCATCAATTTGATATTCAATTAATCGGCTCGTCAGCGTCGATTTAACGCGTCTAGAGATGCTGACCAGATCTATTTCCGTTACTGTCGACCACGATCGATCTAGAATCCTCGATCTCGCGTCCACAGTATCGTGAGATCGACTAGATGGCACGAAGAATAATTTCTTGACTACGAAACGTCTTTCGATAATAGGTACACTGTCATTCTCACAAACGCACACGTTTTCTCTGTTTGCTTGGATTCCTTAACAGTTACAGTAAATTACATTGTTCCTATTTACAGCGTGATATACATACAGATCGTTTCTCTATAAAAGTCGTTTCGCGGTGCGTTTTATTTCTTACTTCTTTTTTTTATTCATTTTGTGTGTTTTCTTCTTCTTTTGGTTGCGTGTATTCGTGATACAAAACCGCTGTAACTTCGTTGAGATCGACCGATTTCCTATTTTATTTTTTAACTATACGATCGGTCATCGATCACCATTTCAACGAACTATTCAATCGAAATTATAGGAGTTCGGTCAATTCTTCACTTTTCCCTTTTCACTTTGTTGCCTCTTTTGGTACACTCCTTTTTATACTTTAAATGCTAGTTGGAGATTGAAGTTGTTCCATGGAGATCGCTCGATCGTCGATTCGTGTCGTTCGATCGTATCATTTTCGTTCGTCCGTCAAATACGATACATCGATCCTTAGATCGTTGCTAACTGTTCGTTCCAAGTGCACTGAGCTTCAATCGAGAGAAATTTGAGCGATACTGCCGACTAATGTTGCGAATGTCTCGTTGTAGAATAATGGTAACATGAGTGGTTCAAATTCTATTATGAAATTATACATCAAGAGAATGTGAACTACCTCGAGAATATAATTTCTCCAAGTATCGTAACGTTGTCAGAAATTGTTTTCTAATTAATTTGCAATTCCTTCAAATTTCAGCTATTATCGAGAAAGGAATACTAATTAAAATTCTATGTACATTCGAATACAGGCTTCCGTTGAAATTCGTACTTGAGCCATTCGTAATTCTCCATTCTTCTATTCTCTGTCGTTTCAATGACGAAAGTGTTCTACAAAAGTTCACGCTAGAAAAATCATTATCAACGCAGCCGCGTTATCAACGTCCGTTCTTGTCGCGTACAGGCCACGCTCGAGCGTGGTAACGTCGATAACGTAGCTCGTCTCGTGGAAAATCGAAGAAAATTTGCCTCGTACCAAAGTACCCGTATTTTGATTCTTCGTCGATTAGGCAGTGATACTTTTTTTTTCAGACAGTCTTCTCGGTCTTTCGACAAGAAATCGTACAGTTTTTCGAATGGAAAGAAACGTGCTTGTTCATTACTGTATACACTTTGCGTGGATATGTAACTTTCCCAAGAAGAAACGAAATGTGTGCGTGATTTTCGTTGCAAAAAATGATTCTCGGGGACAAATTATTGTACGTACACGTAGGACATCGATCTGCTTTTGTGACAGACGTCTATTGTTAGTTTTTATTACCGTTAAACAGGCAGTGTTGAGTTTTTTTTTTTTCACCTTTAAACAGGCAGTGTTACTTTCTTTTCGTTTCATAGTCATTGCTACTCGCTCGATCTTCAATTTTCAGAAGGTGAATAAAAACGATCACGTTAAGTACAGACGTTGCTTTCGCCTACTGGAGTAACAAACGAAATTCTCGTATCGTTCAAATAACTTTCGTCCGTATAAATTCGTTTTATCCTAAATTTCTGAGTTGTGTAGAAAAATCAAGTATATCGAAATTCAGTCACAAATGAAATATTTAAAAAATTCTAAATTATATTCTAAAATTAATTTTCGGTTAAATACGAATTATTCCTTTGTCCCTTTACTTCTATTAATTTATAAATAATTTTATCGCAACAAACCTGTTCGTTTCGACACGAAAATCTAATTAAATCGTAATCATTTCTGCAACCTCGACGACGTTTCAGATGCTCACTTCCGGTACCGGTCGCAAAACGAACGCTGTCTCTCCCTCTCATTTCCAATCAAACGTGCTTATATTCTCCATCCGATAGTCCAGCCTCGTATAATTGTCTCTCTTCGTTAAAAAACAGTACTTCTCTTAATAACAACATTATCCTCAACAAATAATACGAAATTTTACTATTCTCGTTTCATCAACGGCTGAAGAATCTCCGTTGTATATCCATTCACCCAGAGAGAGCCTCTGCGCCGAGAATTTCCATAGAAACAGAGAGGTGAAAACTCTCGGCACGCCGACGTCGTATTTACAACGCTCTCGTTACATCCACCGCTTCGTTGGCCAAGCTCTCGTTCACTTCCGGTGCCAGGCACGCGTGAAACGATTTCGTCACTGCGGACAGCAAGTTTGTTCTCCGTTTCCCGGCCCTTCGAGTCCAACCGAAATTTACATCCAGTCTCACGTTGTTGATTTACACGGATCAACCACGCCACATCCGTTTTCCAAACAGCGTTCTACAGGAGATTTCCAGGGAAATCCTGATCCTGAAGAAAATCGTCGCACAGACGCGAGCGATCGAACAATTCCTTCCCGTGAGAACTTGTGTTCCAACGGGGGATTTTGCTTTTTCACGACGAAACGGGAGATTATACGTACGTTGATACGAGGAGAAAGAACGTGCTCGTTTCCGGTACCAGGACGACGAAGACTTGTTGACTTTTCACTCGAAGTAAACAACGATTCTGATCGGCGATGAGCAAATTGCGTTGCTCGATATACAGCGGCTTCGTTCGTCGGCTGTGCCATTAGAAAATCGGTCTCTCGATTAAAAGCAGTACTTCCGCGTGCTCACTTCCGGTACCGGGCTCAAGGACGGGGGTCGTCCCTCGCGCGGGACACCCCCCTCCTCCTGTCAGCCGTAGTAGTAGTTTTTCGTGTTCAGGCTCCGTGGATTTTCCGGACGGAGGATCGTGTGGAGGTTGTCGGTGCCAACCATGTGATTACCGAGGTCCACCCTAACACCTGTGGTGTTGGTTTGATAGTGTCCTGGCGTTTGATGAATCGTGGTGGGCGACATGGGTATCCTTGTCTCCGCGTAGTAACGATCGCCATGCAGCCTTTCGGCTAATTGGGTTTCCGGGATCCTGAAAGGAAAATTAGAGGTGAGGTGAAAGTAGTCGTTTGATATTTCGTGGGAGTAGTTTATACGGGGTGTTCTATCAATTATGTCAGATATCTCCATTTTGTCGTGTGATGAGCGAAAATGTTAATTGTGAAAGTTGTATGGAAGAGAAACATACGATGATAGTTTGTTTACAGATAGAGCTATAATTAATTTTTTCTTTTTTTTTTTTAATGAAATGTCTGATTTTTTATAGTCATATTAGATAGAAGCACCGTTTGCTTATGCTATTATTTTAATTATGAAACATATTCGAAGTGTCAACCATGTGCAAATTATTCTTCACTTTTTCAAGAATCTCAGGAATTTATTATTTACTAAGAAATTAACATTAAAAGTTTGCAGAAAATAATTAAACCTTTCAATCATTGCATAGGAGAATGTTATAATCGAACGTAATCATTTAAAAATGGTAGAAAAATGTTAACGAAGGAATAACGATTTAAATGGAAATATTAGAATATTAGGATACTTGAAGGCTGAATTAAGCGAGGTACGAACCTCGGGTCTTGCATGGGGACTGGCACCGGAGTGGTAAGATCAATATCCGCGTCGATCTCCGAAATGTCATCGGTGAATGCATTTGGAAGCGTCTCGTTATTTGTATGAAATTTCGCATCCCTCTTTGCACGATGACGGCTGACTAGAAGACGTCCAATTACCAAGCCCAGAAAGATTAGGATACCAGCTGTGATCGACAATATGATGTAGAGGTAGAATTTTTCTTGATTCTCTGCATTAAGGAAATGAAACGAAATTCAGTATGAAATTTTCTAGAAGGAGAAAAACGAGGAAAAAGTTAAGAAAAATAGACTTTACGATAATCAACAGCTACTTGAACTATTACATTAATAACGTGGATATTACAAAAGTTTAGACAGATCTCAAGTCACATGCAAAATTACTAGGAAGTTTGTCTACTGATAGAAATGCAATGCCAATCACAGGTGCTCAATCATCTCCACTGCAAACCTAGAAAATTAATCGTGTTTCGAGCAATCAGGTGCACTACTTCAACTATTCACTTCTACCCTTTCGTACATAGCAAAAAAACAAAAAGAACCAACTAAAACTATTTATCATTTAAACACACAAACGTCTATCAGTATAATCTTCAAATTTTCTCTTTGAATATTCAAACATTTCTACGATACTTTCTTCGATATTTTGCAAAATATAAACTACGCTATGTTATCAAGACTAAAATAATTCAGAAACAACATCGTTACCAACAATGGAAATAAAAGGTTGCTAACTTATCCAGATAAAGTAAGTTATCGATCGTAAGCAATATACCGATTACCGGCAACTCACCAACGTTCGATAAGAACGAGATCTCTCTTTACCGACGTCCTCCCACGCAAGATTTCTTGTATCGTCGATAAGAAAAGATATGGGGAGGGAATAGAGACGAGGGTAATCGATAAAACGGGCGACTTACCGACTGCACGACCGAGAATAACAGTACAGTGTGCGTACTTACTCGATATGAACGAATATGCATTGATCCATTCATTGATATAGCCGACAACGACACGATCCTCTTCGGGAAAGGCGTAGACTACCGTGGTGCAATTAATCGGCGACATCGTACTGCTGGTAGTCATATCGGCCACGTTGTTGTCGAACATAATCATCCCTTGAATAACCGTGGGTGTTAGGGGCGAGTCTTTCGCTCCTACACCGATCGACTTAAACTTGTTCGATCGTGTGTCCACTGTGTAGGCGCGAGAAACAAATGAATAGAGGAGGCTAGTGAAGAAGAGAAGATTTGCGAGTTCAGTGTAAGCGTAATGATGGGAGTGAAATTGTACACAGAGTTGGCGATTCGTCCGAAAGAAGTATTATTTTTCCAAGGTTTCTAAATAATTACTTACTATTTATTTTCTGCAATAAATACATACTTCGTTCTTTCAATTTCTCGTAATTACCAAAAACAATTACCGATCTTCGATACCAACGATTGATTTCAAAATTAAACAAATCCCATCACTACTCGAAAACACGATCAAATGAGACAAAAAAAGGGGTGAGAGAAGGCAATGCGCAAAATAAGTGCCGATAAGTCACATCGACCATCCCCTCTTCTGTTATTTACAAGCAGCCATTATTTCAGCCGATCATTTTTGCATACCTGACAGAACCGGAGTTCGAGGAACTCTACGGTGATTTCGCGTTAATGGCGCGGTATTTACAGATTGTTATCGGTTTCGGTATCGCGTGTGTCACGCTTTGCGAATTATGAGAGATGAAATTACGGAAGATAATTGGTCCGCGGTTAATTTATTTTACAGATAGCGTATATTTCTTGGCAATGCAACGTTGATTTATTCCTAGCTACGAATTATTATATACAGAGTATTGGGAATAAAATGATGTATAATACAGACCCTCCACCAAAATCGTGATCATGTCGTGTTATTATACAGAGTTGCGATCAATGCGAGATATACAGGGGTGTGTGCTGTGTAAGTGGGATAGAGCATACGCCAGAAAATTTGATACCAGAGAAAACATTTGGTACAGGACGAATTTGACAAATTCGAAGCTATGCATTTTAATGGAAATTGCGGTAATTGGTGGGCGGAAGGTAGATGTCTCGGTGAAAATTTAAGTGAACTAGGTCAAATAGTTCCTCGAGGTGTTTAAATGTGATTACTAAATTTGTAATCAAAATATGTACACTTTCTGACGTTATCACACACGGCGAATTTCCTAATTGAGGTAGTATGTACTTTCGTTGTTAGTCAAGATGGATTGCTATAATTATACGAAGTTTCGTAATTGTGCAGTAACCAGGTTCGATATTCCCCTTCTTTTCGTGAATCTTCTATGAAAATTAAGCGACAATTGAAAAATCATTTGCCGAGTACTTTCTAAATACTTTCTGTAACACATTGATGAAGAGAAATGTTAGAGTTTAATACAACATTTAATTTTTCTCTATATTATTGGTCTATACGTCGACTTATTTAAGGAGAATCAGAAAAATATTTAAGTAAAGAAACTCATTTTTTGGGATAAGAATATTGCTGTTGAAAGGCCCTATAATTTCTAACATCAGATGAACAGAAAATTTGTTGTAATATTGTTTAAACGTGACTCTATGGTTAGAAATTGCCATATAATTAAATATGCATAAAAAGAACCAAAACGAAAATACAGGAAATGTAACATTGGTAAGATAGGCTTTAGACAATATTCTATCACTCCATAAAATACGATTATACACACTCAATTAATCCAACAAAGCAATCTAAAAGTTTCTTCAAAACGTCAACCTTGTTCCAGCAACGAATAAAACCGTGACTCTCTTTCATCGGGTACCCTTAACAATACACCGTTTCCCGCTGAAATCAACCCGAAAAATCTGGAAGTAGAGGCATCAATAACCAACGCCACCCTCGTCATTCCCCGCGACATTAAACAAAGTTGGTCGTGGAACGCCTTCCGTTGAACGATTGTCACTCGTCTATAAAACGCGGCGAGCGGCGTTCCCTCCTCTCGCAAGGTGACTCGAAATAATGGAGAAAACGGGTCTTCAGAACCGCGGAGGGGTCCGTCGATAACCCGTTCGACGTGTCGTTCACCCCGTGTTTTTCACGGATCGATAGACCGGCAAAGGAGATACCGATACTCCCGCGCTTTCGACAGGTTTTCAGGGCTTAGACAGCCCGCTGACGGATATTGTATTATACATCAGCACGCGGCGCGGAGCTTTGTCACTCGTGCCGCAGGAATACGTGAGTTAGGCGCGCATACGACTTCGCGATCGGTATGCATTGTGCCGCGGCGAGATCGAACTTCCACGAAAGTGTCGCGTCTCCGTTCCACCCCGACCGATGTAAAATTCGGAGGATTGCCGGGAATACGATTCAGAAGGGTACGTGTTAGGTTTTGCTTGTGAATATTCTTGTGTTTTGGGGGGAAATGGTGTTCTAATGAGAAGTAGACAAGATCGTGAAAGTAGAGCTTTGACACTGGAACTACCGGTCCGGTGAAAATGACACAGCATTAGCGAGTATTATCATCTGTAACTTTCCCATTTTATTTTCTGCATATACACTACCGGCCAAATGTTTGGAATCACTGTGCATTGCAGGTTGCACAAAAATTCCCCGGAAAGGTTAGCATTTATAATAATTTTCCAACGAATTTTTTATCATTCGAATCAATCGAAACGAGGTAAAGCGCTATTGATCTCCACAATATCAATTTCAAAGCAATAAGGAATTAGTAGCAGATTCAATATTAATATAAATTGGCAGGTGATTCCAAACTTTCGGCAGGTAGTGTATGCTTCTATTTGTATCAATATGAAGTTAATTTTCTAATTATGTTTTATTTATATAAAAATTCATTTTTGGAAAGTCATTTTGACCCGGCTGGTAGTTCTAGTGTTAAATATTGATGACAGATGAAGGTTCGAATTTGACTTTTGTGACGTCACAGGAATACGGATTTATGAATTTGTTCTTTTCGCGAAGTAAATGTACTTTTATATTTTTTTGAATATGGTTTGTGACAATGTTTAAAAATGGATTTGGTAAGTGATCTACATTTGGAATGAATTTTAATTCAAAAAATGAAGTAAAGTGTTTAAATATCGTAACTGATCTATATTTTCAATAAGAATGTACCTAATTTCAAATTGAAGTAATTCCTTATCAAAGATTACAACTGAAGTATATTAATAAGTTTTTTAGTTAAACTTAGACGAATTCTGCATTTCTTCAAATATCAAATTATACTGCCTTTAATGAACTTTGCATAATTTCAAGGTCCTTTCTTAAAATCCAACAAATTTTAAACACATTTTTAACTCAACAATATAAAATTAAAGAATTTTAATTACTTTGAATTGCAAGTTTAAAAATTAGAAAGAATTGCAGTGCAATAAATAAGGAAATTCACGGTTCAATCACTTTCCACGATCCAATTTTATTCGATCGAGATCACTGTTGAGACCAAGCCACTTTGAACGGGTATAAATAGCGAAACGCAAACTTACAGTCTTTACAACGACGTGCCTTACGTTCCTGTTTATTTGATTTAGAAAACCGAGCCACTTTGTCGCGTTTCTTTACGAGGATGCTCCGAAGATACTGATTTACATAAACGAAGCCGTTCAGCGATGTAAATCTGCCGACGCGATAGAATTTCCATCAGAATCAGCGAATAACCTCTCGTAAAATTTTGAATCGTCATCAACACTGTGAAGTAACCCAAGCCAAGCGCGTGTTTTTCATCTGTTGTATCAATAAAATCCATATCATTTTATACTTTTCATATATTTTCACACAAATCCTTCGAAAGTTAAACTTGGAACTGAAATTCTCACTTTTCATGACAGTAAACGAT